AAGACCAATACAGTTTCAAACACAGCAGAGCACAAACAATTCAGAGGAGCAACTACAAATAGAAAAAGTTATGAAGGAGAGAAGGAGAAAGGAAATTGCAATGTTTAGGAAGAATGAGAAAGAAAAAGAGAAGGTCACTCCTTTGAAAAGGAAAGCTGTAGTTATGGACAATGAAGAGGATAGTGATGATGATAATTTGTCAGAATATGGGGATATCCTTGCTAGGCTTGAGGAAATGAAAAAACAGAGGGATGATCCATTATTGCATTATGAAGGGGACACAGATGTTGAGGAGATGTGGGATACAGATGAGGAGGAGGAACTATATGATCCATCAGGTGAAGAAGAGGACGATGATGATCAAGAGGAGGAGGAATTGGAGGAATTGGAGGGAGTGGTGCAAGGGGAGAAACACAATGAAGAGGAGCAAGAGAGTGGTCAACATATTGAGAAGAAGAATAAGGCCAAGGGAGACAGAAAAGGGCCAACTAACAGATCACATGGAAGTGTAGAGCAAATGTTTGAGGATGACTGGATACCATTAGATGATGAGGACAAAAAACCATTAGACCTGGGTTTGGAAGATGATGATGGTGCTGAGGCAATGGCTTATGTGTTGCCCAATGGTAGGAAGAGCAGAGCAAAGAAGACGAAGCCAAGGTTATGGTATGCTGAGGATAGAGCTGACCCATAAAACCAATTTGTGAAGCATCTTTGCTTCATTGATGTGTACCCGTTCAGAACTGCACTCCAAACCCTGCACATATCACAGAACAGGAACTATGAGTACCATAGAAACTGCAGTGACAGGGTTATAACACAGTGCATAGATGAGCAATGCCCTTTTTATATAGCAGCTTCTCAGATTGCAAATGAGAAGACATTTACCATTAGAAAGTTGTATTTGATGCACACATGCCCTTCTGTGTCAGAGAGCACCAAAGTCACTGTCAAGTGGGTTGCAAAACATTGTGAGGAGGCAGTGAGGAATGACCCTAACACAACAATAACAACAATAATTAACACTGCAAAGAGCAAGTATGGAGTGGATATTTGAACCCACATGGCCTACAGGGCTAGGAAGGCAGCAAAGAATGTTGTTTTAGGAGATCAAAAGGCCCAATACACCAGGATTAGAGATTATTTAGAGGCTGTCTTAGACACCAATCCAGGTTCTAGATGTATTGTGACAACACAACATATTAGGGAGCATCCTAGCAAGAACCCTAGGTTTCATGGACTTTTCATCTGCCTGAATGGATGCAAAGAAGGGTTCCTCAATGGCTGCAGACCATTCATAGGTAATTGCCTTGTATTGTTGTCTATGCAAAACATGCTAAATTACTTGTGTTCTCTACGCATGTAACAAAAATATTGAATTACTTGTGTTCTTTTTGCAGCCAAGCAGCTCTTCTTACCCACCTGATGTTGCTACTGCTGCCTCCTCTGCCGCACCAGTAAGAAGGGCTGCATCTACTGCCACTGCACCAGCACCAGTACCAGCAAGAAGGGCTGCATCTGCTGCCACTGCACCAGCACCAGCAAGAAGGCCTACATCTACTGCCACTGCACTAGCACCAGCAAGAAGAACTCCATCTTCTGCCACTGCACCAGCACCAGCAAGGAGGACTCCATCTACTGCCACTGCACCAGCACCAGCAAGGAGGACTCCATCTACTCCCACTGCACCATCAACAAGAACTGCTACTGCTGCTGCAAAGGGTAAGGCTCCACAAACTAGGGCTTCAACTGCTGCAAAGGGAGCAAGGGCATCTTTCTTGCCTCCAAGACCAAACAGTGGTTCCCAGAGAGTCAGAAAGCCAACCCAGAAGATAAAAGACTACCTGACTGCTTCTGGTGCAGCATGGGATTGATGTTGTGATCCAAAGTATGCTTTTACCATGTTGTGACACTACTTCTATTTTGATGACCAAGTGATCATCAAGTTATGTTCTGGTACTGTAATGACCAACTTAGGTTCTCGTACTGTAATGATCAAGTGGGATGATCAACTAATCTAGTGCTACTCTAGTTATGATGATGGTGCTACTCTTGTGATGATAATGTTGTGCCAATCACCAAGAAGCTAGAAACCCATAACTTACCCTTGTGATGCTAGTCTTGATGCCTCAACGTCGATAAAAAACCAAAAAAGCTTACTTGATGCCTCGGGGTCGATAAAAAGCCAAAAAAGCCTACTTGATGCCTCAGCGTCGATATAAAGCCAAAAACATAGTTGAGCCTACTTGATGCCTCGGCGTCGATAAAAAGCCAAAAAAGCCTACTGGATGCCTCGAGGT